TGGCATACTCATTAAGTAAGTTTCCTGTGTGTGTGTGGCAAGACTTTGAAATATATTTTTTCTTACATTTTGAAAGAGTCTACTTTTGCAAATAGAATAAAACAAACAAAATTGGATGAAAACTTATGATTTTATGGTGTGTTGAAATTGGCAAAAAATGATCTCTTGTCTACAGTATTATAGTATGCACTAATAATATTTAAGTTTTACAATTTATTGACACCAAAGTATGATTGTTTTTCATTTATTTAATGTCTAACACTATCTACACTAGTTTTTTATGATATTAGATTTGTTTCAAGGTGTTTTAGTTGTGTCTTTCATGGAGAGGGAAATTCTTAATGAAACATTGCTCATCTTAGAATATACAGAGTAAATTAGTACAAATATTTTTTTTTTTAATTTTTTGCTGCTTTCATCTTCTCACAATATGTACAAGGAACACTTAGGATACTATAATTGTTTTTTGGTGTAATACTCATCAAAACATGGAAATAAGTCTCACTCTATGACTTTGAGGTTATCCTTGATTAATTATTATGTTGTTTTATTGAGGTGTGGGGATATATCCTGGGTTATATAAACATAATGTAATTTCTGTGTCCATAATGCCTGTGCTCCTTCAGGACCACTGTAAAACACATTTATGAGGAAATTATGTTATTTCAGTTGTTTCAAGATGTAATTCTCATTGCAACATAGAAATAATTCACATTGTTTAACTTCAGTTATCTTAGGTTACAACTGCATATTGTGCTTTATACCTGAATTCCACTGTTAGTATCATGAAATTGTAACAAATTTAAAATGGATAAGGCATTGTCCTGCCAGTTCTGCACCCTGTTTGCTGGTTGGGAAGTTGCTGATGAAACAACAGGTTATGGTTTCTTTGAAGAATTGAGACACTTATGCAACACATGGGAATCTTCTTTGAAGAAATGTTTCGCCACACAGTGGCTTCATCAGTCCAATACAAAGTAGAAATGGGTAAGGAGAGGAGAAGTTTGAGGTAATCAGTCCCTCAACCTGGAATCGTTGTGTTCAGTCCATCACTCTTGTAGGAAATGCAACATAGGGCCAGAGAGGTGGCTTATATACTGCAGTCAGATGAGGTGAAGCAGGAGGAGGCGGGATCACAGTGGGACCTGCCACTAGTGTAAGTAGGTCTTCGTCCAAAGGTTGGGCAAACGTTAAGTCTTTGTACCAAGATCCCATGATCTTGGTACAGAGTGATGGACTGAACACATCGATTCCAGGTTGAGGGACTGATTACCTCAAACTTCTCCTCTCCTTACCCATTTCTACTTTGTATTGGACTGATGAAGCCACTGTGTGGCGAAATGTTTCTTCAATAAAGATTCCCATGTGTTGCATAAGTGTCTCAATTCTTCAACTTGTCGGTTTTCTAAACCATTCATCACATCTGTCAGACACTGCAACATCATGGGATCTTGGTACAAAGACTTAACGCTTGCCCAACCTTTGGACGACGACCTACTTACTCTAGTGGCAGGTCCCACTGTGATCCCGCCTCCTCCTGCTTCACCTCATCTGACTGCAGTATATAAGCCACCTCTCTGGCCCTATGCTGCATTTTCTACAAGAGTGATGGACTGAACACATTGATTCCAGGTTGAGGGACTGATTACCTCAAACTTCTCCTCTCCTTACCCATTTCTACTTTGTATTGGACTGATGAAGCCACTGTGTGGCAAAACGTTTCTTCAATAAAGATTCCCATGTGTTGCATAAGTGTCTTAATTCTTCAACTTGTCGGTTTTCTAAACCATTCATCACATATGGTTTCTTTGTTTATTCATGCAAGTTAAGGAGTATTGACCATGATGCACTGTATGGACCTGCCTGGTCTTAGATTTTTCCAAAGGTGTGAAGAGGTTGTAGGAGACCCAAGCAGTTGTGCTGAGGTGCATTTGAAGACATGAAAAATTGTTCTTACAAGTAAGCTGAACACCCTGTCACCTGCCAACTAGTATATCACTAACAGTTATTGGATTAAATATTCATAAAGATCAAATCTGTCAGCTATGAATGCATATAAAATAAGCTGGTTATCAGTTTCTGTTTTTTTTTTTTTCAACAAGTCGGCTGTCTCCCACCGAGGCAGGGTGACCCAAAAGAAAGAAAACCCCCAAAAAGAAAATACTTTCATCGTCATTCAGCACTTTCACCTCACTCATATATAATCACTGTCTTTGCAGAGGCACCCAGATACAACAGTTTACAAGCATGTATAAAGATATATAACATATCCCTCCAAACTGCCAATATCCTAAACCCCTCCTTTAAAGTGCAGGCATTGTACTTCCCATTTCCAGTACTCAAGTCTGGCTATATAAAAATAACCGGTTTCCCTGAATCCCTTCACTAAATATTACCCTGCTCACACTCAACAGCTCGTCAGGTCCCAAAAATCATTCGTCTCCATTTACTCCTATCTAACACACCCCTCAAGGAAGGTTCCTTGATGTTGGTGAGGGGCTCTTGATTTAGGGAATTAGATCTGTGCTCCAGTTCCCCGAATTAAGCCTGAATGCCTTCCACATCCCCCCCCCCAGGCGCTGTATAATCCTCCGGGTTTAGCGCTTCCCCCTTGATTATAATAATAATAATCCTATCTAACACACTCATGCATGCTTGCTGGAAGTCCAAGCCCCTTGCCCACAAAACCTCCTTTACCCCCTCCCTCCAACCTTTTTGAGGACGACCCCTACTCCGCTTTCCTTAAAAAAAAATGTGAGTGCTGCATATGAGTGGGAAATATGAATTTCCCAGGCTTATTGTAATATTTATTCCCTGTGTTTAGCTAGTCGAGAATATAGTAATGCAGTGTAATTAATTATTAAATCCTGTTATTAAAAGCAATCATAATAGCTACATTTCATGTCTCATTTTCTCTCATCATGATGAATGAAATGATATACAAATATAGCTCTCTTGATCTAATTACTTGATTGTCAACTTTTTTTTTTTTTAACACACTGGCTGTTTCCCACCAAGGTAAGGTGACCTGAGAAATAAGAAACACTTTCACCATCATTCACTCTATAACTGTCTTGCCAGAGGTGTGTAGATACTATGGCTTAGATGCCCCTCCAAACTGCAAATATCTATTATTATTATTAATTATAATAAAAAGATTCAATGATTAATTATGTTGCTTCACTATGTTCTTGACTTGTTAGACACTGGGAATAAATATTGCAATTATAAACTTGGGAAATTAATATTTTCCACAATATGCTTGTAAAGTAGAGTATCTCCATATTTTAAATGTAACCTTAAGTTAATCCAGTTAGGTATAATAAAATAATGATGAGCTTTATTTCTACATAGTATATGATACAACTGATATAGTATGCCAGTAATGTCAACTAAATCTATTCAGTTGACATTATTGGCATACTTTATAGGAAGTCCCTGGTTATGCAGGTTATTTTGCTCAGCCTAAGTCGGCCTTGTTTCCCAAGATGTGATGCACAACAGTCAGCTAACACTAGGTGCCTACTTGCTGCTAGGTGAGCAGGTGTAAGAAAACATGCCAGGGTTTGATCCTGGAGTCTCAGTATGTTGGCTGAGGATGCTACAATCTTACTAAAAGATCATTGATTGTCCAAACATCAGATGGATAAAGACACAAAGCATTATAATATTTTTGGTAATACAGTATACCAGTATTAACTCCTTGACTGTCACAACGCCCAGATCCAAAAGTGTCTCCTGGTGTCACAAAATTTCCCCCCCCAAAAAAAACAAAAAAAAAAATTCCCCCCTGATGAGAATTTTCTTTTCCCAGGAAATACACAAAAGAACGAATTTGTGGCCCTCTTTTAAACTTCTTCCGAAGGTTATAACCCCGGCTTTATTTACCAATACATTCCCCAAAAAAATTTGTTTGCCCAAATTATTTGGTAAATTATTTTCTTTTCACAAATATGTTTTTCCTAAATTTCCCTTTTTTATCATTTAACAAAACTCCCATTTCAATTTCACTACCCAAAATTAACCCCCAATCTCAAAAGTTTTTACTTTTGCCAAGTCCCCCCAAATTATTTAATTTTAAAAAAGGGTCCAAATTAAACAATTCCCAAATTCCTTTTCAAAATCATTTTCTTTTTCCCATCATCACGTTTTAAGGCCCCTTTCTGATATTACTTTTCCTATTTTGAATTAATTTTATTCCCAAAAATGAAATTTACTGTTTTTTGCAATCTCTCAATATAATTTAATTTTTTTTAAAACGCCCTCCCCCCTTCAGTTTGCCTATTGGGGAAGGCTAATTTTTTCATTTATAAAATAAAATCATTTTTTCTTTGAACATCGGCAAAAAACATTTAAATTTTTTCTCCCTTTTTTAATTTGATCCAGAAGGTTCTTTTCCCCATAGTCCCTAAAAACACCCATTTCAAAGTTTTTTTCCCATTCAATGGACCAAAAAAGAAATAAAAAAAATACTTTTTAAAAAAAGGGAAAAATAGTGGATTTATATTAAAGGGCCCGATTTTTTTTCCAATTTGAGGGTGAAAGTATTTTTTTATTTATGAAAAAAAAGCCGAACCACCACAGACCAATTCTTCACATTTGGGCACAGTTTCTTGGGGGTTCTTTCCAGCCCTAAATTTATTAATATATATACGTCAAACACGGTGGCTTGTAAGACGTATATATACGACCAAAACAGTCAAAGGGTTAATTTATTTATTGTAATTAAAGTACATGATTTAAAGGATGGTTATTCAATGTGAATTATTTTCCTCAGTTTCTTTGTACTATATTATTTAATTTCTGGAATTGCAACAGGAAGTTACAAAAAGCTGCATCATTTTTATTGTAGGAGTTGTGTAAGACTCTTCGGATGTGACCTTGATGTACATTCATCATTTACTTCAAATTTTTTTGTGAAAATAATGTACAATATTAGGATTTGTGAGATTAGTTTTGAGACATTTTTTCATAGTTTCATGGGTCACTTTATTCCACAGGATGGACAAGAGCCGTGAGGGTGAGCGGGGGGAGAAATCCAGAGGAGGCTTGCCCCCAGGGATGGACCCAGCCACTGCTGCACTCTATGGTATGCAACTGTTGCTTCCTGGCAAATTCATCTTTGTGTTTGTAATTTGTAGGACAAACAGTAATCCGTGTTAAAAGACAATAAATGACTTTCATAATGTGAGACACCAGAAAACAAGCACTGTTACTTCAAAGGTGTATTCCTGACTGGAAAACTGGTTAATTGAAGAGGACACATTTGTTAATATTTGGTTTGTTATGCTAGTTAAATTAATTCTTAACCCTTAAACTGTCCAAATGTAGATCTACGTCCACATGTGGGGGGCTCTGAACGTAGATTTTTTTTTTTTTACATGCTTTCGAATAGGGAAAATCAAGGTTGGAGCTCTACGCACATAAATGTAGATCTACGTTTTGACAGTTTAAGGGTTAAAAATACTAACTCCAATTTATAACAGTAATAATAAATCCAAATTGTTAGGTTTTGAGTATGAAAGTTCCCTCAGGGGATGTTCCATGATGCTGATGAGGGGTTCTTGATCTAGGGAATTGGATCTGTGCTCCAGTTCCCTGAATTGAGCCAGAATACCCTCCATCCTTCCCCCATCCTCCCCATTTTCCTGCAGGCACTGTATAGTCCCTATGAGTTTAGCGCTCCTCCATGATTATAATAATCATAATTGAGTATGGAAGTATCATGGTTTTAGTTTTCAGTAATTACTGTACTGCATAGTATTTTTGTCATGTGCAGTAGTTTCTTACAAAACCTTTGTTTATAAGTAGAAATACTGTATTATAGGTACAGTACTGTTTGTTGCATGCAGGAATGCGAGTTCAGGTCTTGACAAATAGGATTTTTTATAAAGCCTAAAATATTGTCAGTACATAGGATTAATTGTTTTCAGTGTTATGCATAGTTAGAACCAATAATTTAAAATGGAGATAAAGTATTTTAAGAGGGAGTTATAGTAGGGCTTCCACCACTGAATATTTTTCTATGGATCACTCTTGCTCTCATTATGAATAAAAATTAACAGGCCGTCACCTCGTATTATGTTAATTTTAATAATAATAATAATAATAATAATTAATAATAATAAAAATACTACTAATAAATTTATTTTTGAGTGCCTGTTCTTTCTAGAAATTACCAAGTGCCCACACACTGTCTTAAATGCAACAGCAGCAATGAAGAAGAAATATTAAAGCTTATTTTCAAGAATAGCACTATAATCATCAGGATCTTTAGCTCTATCTATCTGTTTATTACATAATAGATAAATTTGACAAAGCACCTGAGGGCTTTATAAGGGGACTGGTATGTAGATTTAAATTAATTGGCCATCAGGAGCAAGTGCTCTTTTCCAAGAGGAGTGTTGGATAACACCTTCAGGTTTAGCACTTAACTTGATAATATTATCATTCATTATTTCCAAGAGGATTAATCATTTTTATTGGCTCCCATCTGCTATGTTTATCCTGCTCGTGTTTTTTTTTATCTTCACTTCTGTACAATATGGGCAAGATAACTGGAGTTTAAAGTACGGTATTTTCTATATGTAGTTTATAGTTAGGAACAGTTTATTATCTGTATTAATTAGATGAGTTTTAGTAACCTTATTTTTTGAAGTTTCATTTTATATATGTTGTGCTGAATAGGTAAAATTTGCGATTTTGGCTTTAATAGCAATGCTTTTCTTGCCAAATAAGGCAAGCAAAAATTTGTGTATGCAATAATTTTGCAAAAAGAATTCAGAACCTAATGAAAAAAATATATTTCATTGTTTGTTTATTATTAAATTATTGTAAACTTGTCTAAAATATATTTAGCTGGATTAGACTAAATTAACCCTTTGACTGTTTTGGTTGTATATATACATGTACGTCTTATGAGGCAATGTGTTTGACGTACATGTATATGCACTCAAAAATTCTAGCGGCTTCAAATCAAGCTGGAGAAAGCTGGTAGGCCCACATGTGAGAGAAGGAGTCTGTGTGGTCAGTGTGCGCAGTATAAAAAAAATCCTGCAGCATGCAGTGCATAATGAGAAAAAAAAAAACTCCGACTGTGTTTTTGGATTAAAATGCCGACTTTGAGGTGTATTTTCATATAGTATTTATGGGTGTATTCTTGATTTCTTGGTCTCATATGATAGAATGGAAAACATATTATAGAAATAGAAGTGATTTTGATTGGTTTTACTATGAAAAGGATCTTGAAATGGAGCTCAAAGTGGCAGAAATGTTCGATTTTTGCTGATGTTCAAGAGTAAACAAATGATGTCATTGTTCAATAAATGTCCAACTAGCCATTCTAATATGCAGTCACGAATGGGTTGACGTTATTTATACAATTATTACAATATTGCAGTAGTCTGCATTACAGTAAATCTTCTATTTTTTGTGTGAATAAAAATTCAAAATAGAAAGTAAGATTATTGTAACAGGGGCCTGGAGACGTGACTGATGAGCAGAGAAAATGTTATTTTATTGCCAGGAATGTTTGCATTTTTCATTCTGGACCCTATTTTGAAACTGACATTTTTTTAATTTGCATGAAATTGGCCAAATTGCCAATTTCTGACCACTTTATTGGTAGCTGAAACCGGTAAATGGGCGGTTTCTTGTACTCAATCGATATAACAAATGGAGTTCTAAAGAAATAGCTACGAGTTTGGTGAAGTGGAACAACGGAATTGGCCGAAAATAGGGCTCAAAGTGGGCGAAATTGCCGATGCATAAATGTCGCTGAGGTCGCTATCTTTGCGAGAGTGTAATTCTGTAAGTTTTTCATCAAATTTCATACTTTTGCTGTCACTATCATTGGGAAAAGATTCTCTATCATTTCATAAGAAATTTTTTTTTTTTTTAAATATTTTGCGACACCAGGAGACATTTCAGGATTTGGGGTTGCAACTGTCAAAGGGTTAAAATATGCTTGTTATAATAAGGTTATGTAAGTTTTCTAAGGTTCTTTGGTACAAAATTATTAATTTTTACATTAACATAAATGAAAAATATATCTTTAAACGTATAAGCGAAAATTTTAGAAAGGACTTAATTTTAAATGAGTTCTTGCTAATTGACCAGTTTTACCTATATTGCACGACATATATGTATATGTGTGTGTGTGTGTGTGTATGTATGTATGTATATATATATATATTTATAATAATATTATATATATATATATTATATATTATTATATAATATATATTTTATTATTTTATATATTATATATATATATATTTTATATATATTTATATATATAAATATATATATATTTTTATATATATATATATAATGTATTCAGTGGTCCCTCGTTGTTCGTAATTAATCCTTTCCCTGGAGCCGTTACTATAAACGAAATTTACAATTTATGAATAAATTTTTTCCCCCATAAAAAATTTAATGTAAATACAATTAATCCGTTCCTGACACCCAGAAGTATTAAAACAAAAAATTTTTTTAACATGAAATATGATGTAGTACATAAACAATACAATGGGAAATGATGAATGAAACATTAAACAGCATAACACTTACCTTTGTTGGAGATTTTCTTAGTGTATGGGAGAGGGAGGGGGAGAGAGTGGATTGTTTATAGTTGGGGGAAGGGGGAATCCCTTCCATCAACACCTCAGGTACATTTGCTTTCTGGGGTTGCTTCTTTTCTCTGTTTCTTAATGCCACTAGGACCACCTTGAGAGTCACTGGAGTCCTGTCTCACAAAATAACTGGGGGGAGAGAGCTCTGTTTCTGGCGTCTCTTTAACACTTCCCTAAAAGGGCCCCAAAGACTTTGTCACTGTACATGTTGCCAACCTGGCTTGCAACAACCTTGCTAGGGTGATGTTTCTCCATTAAAGCTTTCCATCTTACCCCACATAGTAAAAATCTCTTTAATTTCTGAAGAAGGCCCCTTCTTCCATCTCTCTTCCTCCTCCTCTGCAGCAAGATTCTGAGCTGAGATGTGTTGCTCTTCCTGCTGAAACTCTTGCAGTCCTCAGTGGTGAGCTCTTCTTGTGGTCTCCCCACTTCTTCCACATCCTCCAAACTCACATCCAACCCCATGGAATCCCCAGTGCCCCCAATTGATTTTACAACAGACATAGGCTCATTAGGGTCAGTCCCAAATTCTTCAAAATCCCTCTTGTGGGACACAATCTGGCCACAATTTTCTCCAGGCAGAGTTCAAAGCCCTGGTATCACTCCCTCCCAAGCCTTTACTATAAGGGTTATGCAGTGGAGGATGCTGAAGTGTTCTCTCCAAAATTCCCTTAGGGTCAAGTGAGTGTCTGTGGTCACAGTCAAGCATCTGTGAAACATTGCTTTTGTGTAGTTTTTTTTTTTAAAGTTTGCAATAACTTGCTGGTCCATGGGTTGGAGGAGAGGAGTGGTTTTTCGGGGGCAAGAACTTTACTGTGATGAACCCAAACTCCTCGAAAATTAGGTCATCCAAGTTTGGAGGATGAGCAGGTGCATGTCCATTACTAGCAGGCACTTGAGATCCAATTTCGTTTCCAGGAGATACCCTTCACACTAGGGCCAAACAATTCATTGAACCACTCGACGAAAATTTCCCTCGTGACCATGCCTTTCTATTAGATTTCCAAAACACACACAATTTACTCTTCATAAACATTGTTTTTCCTGAACACTCTGGAATTTTCAGAATGGTTACATAGTAATGGCTTCACTTTGAAATCCCCACTAGCATTAGCACAGAAAAATTAGCGTCGCCTGTCTTTCATAGGTTGTGTCCTGGCATTGCCTTTTCCTCTTTTGTAATTTAGGCCTCTTTGGCATTTTCTTCCAAAAGAGGCCTGTTTTGTCACAATTGAACACTTGTTCAGGTTTCAGTCCTTCAGCCTCATGTACTCCTGGAATTCATGCATTATTTTTTTAGCCGCCTTGTGGTCCGAACTGGCAGCCTCACCATGCCTTACCACACTGTGTATGCAGTACGGTTCTTAAATCTCTCCAAACCAGCTTTGCTGACCTTAAATTCACTCACTTCACCACTATTAGCAGGCAATTTTTTTACCAAAATCTTCATGCA